ATTCGTCTCTTTTCGGTCCAGTTGTCAGCGACTCGACCTCTCCTTGTGACGCAGCGGTGAGCAATTCACTCTCAATCGATGAACGTTCCGCCGGCCTCCCTTGCTTCTGGATGGTCGTCAGCTCGAACGGGCTCAGTCGCACTTTGCCCCTCGTCAGCGCCAGCGACCCCGTATTTTTCAATTCCAAATCTGAAATCGGAACAAAATTAGCTTTAAAGATGTGCATGATACTCATATTTTTGACACTCCGTCGTTGTTGTTCCCCCCTCGCATAAGGTTATGCAAGACCCTGTACTGTATTCGGTGCGAGAGGACTTCATAAATAATTACGTCGGAGTCGTTCGAGTAACTTAGAATGAAAGGACCTTTCACTCACTCATTCTTCGCGAGGGATCCTCTTGTTCCAACGGCAAACGAGGTTGAGGCTCATTTACCGTCGGAACCGGTAACATCGAGGCATGGCATGACATGAATAAATCATGAGACTTCGAGATGGAAGGGAACTCATCCTTCGCGAGGGATCCTCTTGTTCCAACGGCAAACGAGGTTGAGGCTCATTTACCGTCGGAACCGGTAACATCGAGGCATGGCATGACATGAATAAATCATGAGACTTCGAGATGGAAGGGGGCGCAAAGGCTGACATCCCCAAACATTAACCGGGGCGATGTGAGTCACCTGCCAGTTGAGGTGTGAGTCACCTGTCAGTTCAGGCGTGAGGCACCTGTCGGTTGAGGAAAGAGGCAGTTCGTGGCGTAGCTTCGCTTCATCAACAGTGACTCACTCGTGTTCCTTTCCCTTTCCAGCCCTATAATGCCTCATGATGCAATGTCGTTTTTTTCTGGCGTCGGTCACATCCACAGTTCCGCATACATAATCTTTTTGTGCAAAAATTATTTAGATAACTATAGTGGAGAAATAATACGAAGGCGCATGTAGATGCATCAAGTAAATTGCAAAACTCCTGCATTTTGCTTGCAGTCGACGTGCTTTCCCGAGTTTCAAGTTCCTGATTGATTCATACACAGTACGTGGAATTTCCCCCCGGAGGTCATTGAAAAATCACTGAAAATTCACTGAAAAGTCATTGAAACTCAGATGGAGCTCAAAGTCACCGTCCGAAACGTCCTGAAAACCTCGGTCATTCTGTTGTCACTAGCACTGGCAGTGATTCAGGTGAGTAAGACGCAGACTAGTTTTTTGTTAATTTTATTTAATTCATCCTATTGTTGACGTGTCCATTCCAGGTGGGCGAGTTGATCCAGCTGTACCACTCCCAGCCCACGAGCACCTTGTACATCAACGCGCACGCGAATCTCGTGCGTCCGCCTGCGTTCACCATCTGCCCGAGGCCCTCTCTCTTCTCCAGTTGGATGACGGATCTGGATCGGTCGCAAGTAGGACTGAAGCCTGGGGATTTCTGGAGCATGGTGAGGAAGGTCAAGAACACGACCGCTGCAAGGGTTTTTCAGGAATGGATGTTTCCGCCGAACCAGAGTCATTGGGAAGCGATCGTTCCTGCTTTCCTGATCGGCACTTTCGGGTCCAGCGGCGAGTTCGATACGACGATGAGGAACGGGGAAGTGATTGAAAAATTCCGTGCCGGTTAGTCCACGAAGCGTGGAGTTCATCGATGAAATGATTCGTGCCGTCGAAAGAATCTCGTCTCTTGCCTTGCAGGTAATGGGGCTTGGGTTCACCGAGCCTTTTACACCTACATCGACTCCCGAGACTCGTTCAGGGGAGATTACTTCAAATGCCACACTCTTGTGCTGGATAAAGCAATCTCGAGAATGTTTGCAACGAGGAATTTACATTGTACACACCTGAGATTCGAGATCGCCCTCGGGGATGTGACTGACATGATGCGACCTGTAAGAACCCGAAAGCTGCCGTAAACCCTACGTGGACTCACGACCTCGATGATCTCGTTCGTTTATTAATTCCCGATCGTTTAGATCCCCCCACTGGTTGACGTCTTCATCCATGATCCCCGCGAGCCCTACACGAACTTGGGTTTCTTCCATGGAGTCCAGGTAAGTGTTGCGAACGGGTCGATTGTCAGTGTGGCCATTCGTCCGCACCGGACATTGCTGGTCGACAGGAAGGATCAGCCTTGCTCTTCGAATGAGAACTATAGCTACAACACGGTTAGCAAGTTCCAGACTCCCATTCCATTCGTTGGCAAGGTGAAGAATAAATTTTCCCGAAACAGTGCATGGAGAGATGCTTCTGGGATGCGATCCAGTCCTCTCCAGACGTTCCTTGTCTGTCTCCTCTGCTTCTGCCCGGCGGCATAAACGCCACCAAGCCGGATTGCACGACCGCGTCCGAGGAGGACGAGCAACTGAGAATCGTGTTCGAAGAGAAATTGAGACTCTTGAGGGGCGAGACGTGCAACTGTCCCAAGGGCTGCTCCATCACCAACTACCGCGTCTCCGAAGATCCGAACGCTCAGGTCTGCCGGGACTCGTTGCAGTCGCTGAGTATTTGGCCCCTCTGGGAACAGGCAACGGCGGCGCTCATCTTCTCGTTTCCGTCGCCACGGGTAAGGACTTCTAGGTTTCGCGCGTACTGTACATTTTGAGGTGTTGAGAATTTTCGACATCTTCAGTACTCTTTACGTCATTAGATACCACAGGTCACCGAAAGGCTGGCTTTGTCGGTGGAGGATCTGTGGTCGTCCGTCGGCGGAATCGTCGGCATCTGCCTCGGGGTCTCGATCATCTCTCTCTTCGATATCCTGGAGCAAGCTTGCCTCTACTCCTTCAAAATCGTCCACAGAAGATTCGGCAAAACGACGTCAGATGTGAAATCGAATGTGCTATGCTAATTTAGATCTCTCGTCGATGTGTGACGAAATTTGCTTTTGCTGAAATTTGCTGAAATTTCCTAACTTCGATGTGACAGAAAATGTTTCATAACAGACATCATGAAAGTCACACTGCAGTCCCACAGAAGATGCATGCATTAATCATGAAACTTGGCACAAACACTGCAATTGCAATGTTCTCAGCACACCAGATGATAAATTGAAGATTTCCGCTTTCAATTGAAAATTGATTTCATTACTAAATTGAAATTTGACTTTAAATGGAAAAATCGCTTTTGATAACTGTCTCCTGAATCAAGTGCACCGTGATCGGTGGCAAGAAGACATACCCGGGGATTCCTTTATACATCTGAAATATATAAACTTATAAACTAATGAATAAAATAAATAAAATTAAATATAAATAAATATAAATAAAATTATAAACTTCTATAAAATAGGAATTGGGATATAGGGAATCTAACCATGGTCTTCGTTCGAAAATTGACTTAGAACTTCTAAAGTTATGGTTACTATGGATATTAAGTACTTTAACACGATGGACTTAGTCATGACTTATTACAGTAAGCGCGACGACAGGGTTCGCCTTCATTGCAGGACCTCCTCATCCTGCTCAGCATCTCTGATTGTTTGGAGAGCACAGGGTCAAGAGCGGATCGTCCTCTATTTTGGTGACCGTAAGGAAGGAAGTCTGTTTGGATTCAGCGAAAGCATTCCTGGAACAATTATAATGAAAACGGACATTCCCCCCCCCCCCCAGGCAGAAAGAATAATACGAATCAGGACGTGTTTTGTGCTGATTCGCGAAACAAAGGTGGATTGTGGAAGGTAGGGAAGGATGAGCAGTAAACTACACCGGAAGCAATGCAGAATGACCCAGAACTCAATTTAAGTGGAAAAATTAAAAGCGCCTACAGATAGCTGTCGACAGGCATCCCCGTGGTTGTAAGATGGGTCAACTTCCAGTGGGCAGGAAAGTAGGAAGGACTGCTCAAACACAGAGTAAACTATACACCAGCAGCCTACCACGATCAAACCCTTCAAGACTGTATCTCCCTGTTCCGGATTCCTGCATCTGACGAGAGGTGAGATAGCCCCAGAAGTATTTTTTTTTTTCGTTTTTGGTACATTTGACTCAGTGAATGATTGCTAAATCGTAATTTGATTTTGAATCGAAATTTGCTTTTAAATTGGAGCCTAAGAAGTTCAATTGGCCAAATTTACTTCACGAAAAGATATGGCAGAAACTTGAAAATAAAGAGGAGGAAAACGCATCTCCGATGCAACCGATTGTCGTTCCCCTGATGAGTCAATCCAGATTACCACTGAATACTTGCAGCAATTGCCAGCGAAGCCGAAGCTGCATTGCTCTTTGTTCTCCCTGGGATTAAAGGGGGGCGCGTCTGAATTAATTTACAAGTATTGCTTAATCCCAAATTGATATCGATTTAACGCATTTAAAGCACATCCAGGATGAATGCCTCAAAAGTATGACAGATTATAATCTCTTACCAGCGAAAGGGAAAGAGGCGGCAGGTGTACTAGGAAAAAGTTCCCTAAAACATTATTTTTTGGTTGGGGGGGGGAAATTCTCCTAAATTCTTTTTTTTTAATGCATCGAATCATGCAGCTATGGAAAAGTAAAACTTTGCTCACAAATGCCCAAGCAGCATGTTCACGTAAAGAAGATATCAATTTTTTGCCAACAATATAATTTTCTAGCGATTGCCATGAAAATGACATCACGTTTACGTAAAATTTAGAGTCAATCAGAACCATTGAAGAGAATTGATATACTGAACCTCCTATTCCTTTAGGTTCTTCAGAACTCTAGGATAATTGGACGAGTAATCGAGTACTCATACTCACCAGCACTCAAGAGTACCGAAGGGACCTGCTGCTTCTTCCTCCCGTACCGGAATCTCGGAAGGAGGAGTAGATGTTCAAAGAAGCTCTCTTCCTCTTAAGGATAGAGAATATATAGTACTTATGGGGCTGGGATTCTACTCTTCCCTAATCCTGTGCACTGCTATAATAAAAAGCTTAATTTAAGCATTTAATGATTCCCTGAGTTATATATAAAAAGTATATATATCATAATTTCAAGTTTTCCATATATATATTCATGGATTGCATAATAAAAAGTAGAAGGACGGTAAGAAAACCTGATACTATATCAGGAAAACCAGAACTTAATAGTATTTGTCGGATGCAGGGAACAAGGGTTCCATTTAGTGAGGAATCTTGGCACTGCAACTGCAGGATGTTCAGCTAAAGTTGCATATGGATGGTGTGGCGTTAATTTTGCATAAACTTGATATCATGTACTTCACGTCAAACGGAGTGACGTCTAGTTTATGTAAAATACACGTACATTTTGGTGATGTAAATATAGGAACGTAAATTTTACGTAAACGTGATGTCATTTTCATGGCAATCGCTAGAAAATTATATTGTTGGCAAAAAATTGATATCTTCTTTACGTGAACATGCTGCTTGGGCATTTGTGAGCAAAGTTTTACTTTTCCATAGCTGCATGATTCGATGCATTAAAAAAAAAGAATTTAGGAGAATTTCCCCCCCCCNTAATAATAAATTTCATGGAAAACGTCTCCCCGCCACCTGCAGTCGCCGCACGAAACCAATCCCATTCATCCCTTGCAGTGCTTCGAGAACTGCCAATTGATGATGTACTAGGCGTTGCGAACGCCACTTGCATCAGCCCCTTGCTCTTCAACGTGCACCCGGACCCGCAACTGCCCGACTTCTCCACTCCAGAAGAGAAAGACCTCTCGGTGCTCATGGCCTGGTATGATTACAACCCTACTCACCGAGGAAGCCAATCCGAAAACACCAGAATGTCGAGATGTCGAAAGCGAAATGGCTTTCTTGCAAAACATGTGGAAAGCCCAGCGTTGTGAACTTTGGAGGGATTGCAACTGCCCTAGGAGGTGCAACCTGTCTGACGATCATATATTCGCGAATCCAGCTCCGAACAATCCAGCAAAGTGGAAATATGATAAAGAAATGACCCATCTCTCCTTCACTTTCCCTTCGAAACGGGTTCGTCTTCATCATATCCCCTAATTTTCAATCTCGTGCTTCCCGTGTGGAAATTTCCTAGCGTCGGATGAAAGAGCGATGTTAAAGATCCTCTGTTTAAAAAATGCGTCTTTCAAATCTTACCATGTCTAAAGCGTAATATCACTGTAATGGTTAAATACAATAATCATTCAAATGTCGTGCATCCATAATCGCGAGTGGCCATATAAAACTGGTTATCCAAGCATTTTACAGCCATATGTCGAGAACTGCGCCTTGGACAGATGGCTACGACAAAACTCACAATTCAATTTGATTCTGAGCACTTTTAGGCACAGCTACCTATATACCAGATTATGTGAGCAAAAAAGCCACTCTTCGAAATTCTGCGGTGTACATGAGCAGCTCATCAACATCTTTGATGTCATGGAGCAAGTGTGCGACAAAATCAAATGCAAATTATACCCAAGAAGAAATGAGATCATCGACTGAGGTCAACACTGATCCCATTGAAAGGAAAATGCACTCAGGATGAATGCAACCTTCACAGCCCGAAAGGGGAAAAAATCTGGATTACTTGTTTATGTTAACTGTGTACCACGAAGCATAAAGTATATCATTTCTTCTAATCGGTTGCTCAGCAACCGAGGAACTACAGTTAAACCTGTAGTATGAGTGATCCAGGGCACCAGCTAGGCCGAGCGACAAATGTGCTTGTGTGTGTGCTTGGCAGTTCCACAGACCAAACGGCCTGTAGACCATGACATGGCATTGCCTAAGTGGTGCATTATTTCTGCTATCAGAATTTAATGAATTTCTTTATTTCGCCTTTGCGTTCCATTCGCATGATCGTGTGCCAAGAGTGATCACAGGTGAAATGAGACCTGTGATTACCACTACAAAAATTACCACAATGGTAATGACGCTGATGACAATGGAAATCCACTAATGACAATGGAAATCCCTGAAGTTCATGGTGACTGACAACAGTTCGTTTCATTTGGTTCGCGGCCTGTTTACTGCCACTAGTTCATATTGTCTGATAGTATCATTCCTTCGCATAAGAGGCATTTCACTTGGCCATCAGTTAAGGCAAATATTTAGAATATATACCACTCTATTCCAGTGTCTTTCACTTGAGTCAGAGTTTTTTAAACGTCATCGCGGCACTTGTGGATGGGATGTGCCACAGGTTGTTATTGGTGAATGCAAAGAGGGTCGGACTTAAGTGGATAATATTTATAATTCAACCAGCGAAGGGAATACGACGGCACAAGATGACAACATTCACTTGCATGGCTGCGAGGAAATGATGACTGTACCACCATAAAACATGGTGGCCCCCTTCTCTTGCATTCCTAATAGATGTTAATGTAAAATACTTCAAGACCTTTAATATTGCTTTATCAGTCCAAGCGCCTCCATATCTCATGCATTAATGGCCCCAGGGAACTCTTTAAGACCCATCCCAGGTGGCTTCACACAAATCTAAGGGTGAGTACCAATTGTAAATTTGCTCCCATTTTACATTCAAAAGAGAGTGAGAGCTGACACGGCTTCTATGGGCAAATAAGGTGAGAGGGAATATCGTCAGGGGCACGCTTTTTGTTCGTGATCTTAATTTCACCAGCTTCGATCTACTCTGGAATGCCATCATACCCATCGAGTAAGTTAAGGCAAATATTTAGAATATATACCACTCTATTCCAGTGTCTTTCACTTGAGTCAGAGTTTTTTAAACGTCATCGCGGCACTTGTGGATGGGATGTGCCACAGATTGTTATTGGTGAATGCAAAGAGGGTCGGACTTAAGTGGATAATATTTATAATTCAACCAGCGAAGGGAATACGACGGCACAAGATGACAACACTCACTTGCATGGCTGCGAGGAAATGATGACTGTGAAGTAATGGAGGACTCTGATGATCTTGTATTCCGATGAATTCCAAATTGAACA